AAGTGCTATTTGGTGAATCTAGGTTGGCCTCCCACAGAGCAGAGGGCTCTTGTTGGGAAGGAGAAAACTCCAGTCCTGGCAGGAATGAAACACAGCAAGAGTCTTCCCTCTTAGAGAAGCACTAACCTCTCTGAGAAGGGGGTGCTGGAGGGTGGGCCCAGAGCTGGAGGATATCAGTAACTTGTTGCCCCCCCACCTGCCCTCCACGAAACAAAAGCTGGGACTGCAAACAGTTTTCTGCTATTTTGCCTGGTGTCTCAAGGCGTGGGGTTTTCCTCGTATGCACTTCTCTAGCAAGGTCATTGTTAACTGGAGTCCAGCAAGTGCTCACTCTTTTGGCCTTTGGAAATGAAAGAAAGTTAATGTTCCTCTTCTCCCCACCTTCTCTCTCTCCCTCTTCCTCTCTCCCTCTTTCTGTCTCTCTCCATTGCCCAGAGCCCTTGGTCTCTATGAGGAATCCCCGTGTGGCCACCAGCAGGGAGAAAGGATGAAGATTAGGGAAATGCCTAACCAAGAAGGTGGGCCGTGGGGGGGATGGGACGTGGGGTGGGTGGGAGGCGGCGCGAAGGGAGTGAGGTGGAGGCAAGTGGTCAGGCTTGCTTTCCCGCCGGGGCAGCGCGCAGTTCCTCAGGCCTGGCGCTAGATGTCCCTGCAAGTTTTCCCGTGGCGTCTGAGGGCGCACAAGCTTCAGGCAGACAGCGGGTCTGGGTAGCCCCAGAGCCCGGGAGAAAGTACCTCCCCTCCTCACCCAGGGCCGTCCCTCGTCGGGTGAGCAACTGTAGCGGGAAGGAGGAGAACCAGAAGCAGCCAGAGGGACTAAGAGCGCAAGGACTGCCAGCCTAGGGATGGCCCCAAAAAGATGCCAGGAGGGAGTCAGGCCTGAGTCGCCAAAGCGGCGACTCCTTCCCTTATAAACCGAAACCTCCAAGCCATAAGCCCTGGGGACTGTATTTAACTTAAAGAAAATGCACCAGGGGTTCGAAGCCTAGGTTTTAGCGGTTCTGCTGTCCCTCTAAACCCAGGCGGCCCCAGTCCTCGAGCGAGCTTGCTTCCGGATGCGGGCCCGCGCCGGTTTGGGGCCCTCTTCGCCCAGAGCCTACCGCGCGGAAGACCGCAGCCAGGCCCCGGGCGCACGCGGGGGCTCCGTTGCAACTCCGGCTTTACCTGCGCCCCTCACCTCGGGCAGCCCCGACACATTTATATTACCTTCAGTCCAAGGCCAAAAGTGTTTACCGCTTCACCTCGAAGGACCTGCTGCTGCTCAAGAAACAAGGATTTAGTCTGGAGGCCCAAACTGCACCTCCAAATAAAATAAATAAATAAATAAATAAATAAATAAGACCTCCTTCACGTAATTCCTCCTTTGGAACAAAACCTGTTTTTCAGTCCATTTGGAGAAAGGCCCTCCCACACCCTCACCCCCAATGCACCTTAAAATTTCTTGACAAACCACGGGGGCATGGGCTGAACTCTTGTCTTGTTTTATTGAGTGAGTCCTGTATTTTGGTGGTGAGTAGAAGGTCTCAAATATGGCCCAGAGGTTATGATAAAAACTGGGAGCATCTGACGGGTCGTTCTCAGTTTCAGCCTCCACAGTCTGGGAGAGGTGCAAGGTTTGGGTATTTCATTAAAAAACATTAACAGAACAGTTTGTTAATCTTTTTCACTATCTGCTATACAGGCTCGGTGTTTTGGAGGTAGGCCTGTATTTCAAGAAGATGTATGCAAAAATGAAAAAAAAATCAACCAAAAATGCTGCCCCAAAGCTTTTAAGAACCTTATAACTTGGATATTTTCAGAGATAAGTTTAAATCAGCAAGTTCTTCAACCTCTCTGTGTGGAAGGAGTCCATCTCCGTAAAAGGTATAATAGAATCCATCTCTAGAGTGCTTCTAGCTTTAGAGGAGATAATATATGTAAAAAACACTTGTAATTTTAGAGTAAAAGCTACATAAAAGTTCGCCAACATTACTAGATTAGTAGATGTGGAATCTAAAATTAAGTAAGGGACATTAAATATTGTTATGGGATGTTCACCGTCTCTGGTGAAATATTGTCCGCTAAACGCAGTGTAATGAAAAATTATAGGTGTCTTTTACTGTGAGTAATTTCCCTGACGTGTTTTCCAATGTACCTTTTATAATTAACGTGCTAGAATACGAAATATTAGTGTTATTTAAAAGGTGCAAAATAGTTTTCAAAACCACTAATGAATGAAGGTGTCGCCTAGAAACGGTGTTTTACCTTTTCAACAGACTGAGGTCCGGTTTGGCGCAGGCTTTGGGACCAGAGGCGTCAGGTCCCAGAGGAAGGGAAGAAAGGAAGAAGCGTGGAGTGAAGGAGGAAGGGGTTGCCGTCGGCACCTCAGCCCCCAGCTGCGGCTTCTGCGATTCAAAGTAGCTCACAGCTGCCGAAACCGCGAATAAAACAGACGGGGGCGCCAAACGACAGCAATAAAGGCATCTGTGACTTCCGCCTGGGTCGCGCCTGGGCCGATCCCAACCCCCGCCAGGGCCTCGGCCACCCACGAACCCGAGCCTGGACCGAAGTGTCCCATTCAGTTCCCTAAGCAAGTGGGACTGGGCTGGGGGAGTACCCTTCCCAGGTTCCTGGGGCAGCGACTTCTCTTTGTCCGGGGACCCTACCGGGGGTGGTAGAGCTGGGGGCATAGACTGTGGAGCTAGGAGGGAGAGGTGGGGGCACTCGCAAGGCTAATCTTTGAACGCCTTAAGGGCCAGAAAGCCGCCTCAGGGAGGACTCGTACTGCTCAGAGTTGAGTGGCCTCTGGGACAGGGTGGGAGGTGGACGCCGAGGCCGGTGCTCTTCCGGGTTCCCGACACCCACTCCACGTCCCTCCCCCCCCCCCACCTCTCCAGCCACTGCGTGTCTATCCAGCTTTGCATTTCTCACCTTGGGGGAGAATTCCGTTTATTACCTAAAGAGGTGGATTTGATTTTCTAAGCAAAGCTCACGTTGTTCAAATAAGTTGGCGCCGAGGGGAACCGGAGAGAAACTTTTGGCATTGACTATGTGTATAAATGTATATAAATATACTTAACACCTCGTCTCTCCTTACATTCCTGACGCGCCCCCAACGGGTTCAAGGTTAAAAGGAAAGCGCCAACGGAGAGATGGGCAAATAGATTCTGGGTTTGCCCCTAACACATCCCAACGTGCTGGGTGTGGCGGCAGGGAGGAAGGGGGGCTGGGTTGGGGTCTGAGTTGGCGCTGAGGGGAGGATGCAGGACCCGCGCCCAGAGCCCAGATTGCCAGGGTCTCTCGGCCTCTTCGGAAGCTCGAAGGCCGACCTCCGTGTCCCGTCCCTATCTTATCGTGTCCCTGCCTGTGACCGCGAATCTCTCCTATTTTGCTGCTGGCTGGCGGACCCGCACAGTGCTTCGGAGGCCGGGACAGGGTGGGGCGCAAGCGCGGGAGGAGATGTGCAACGGCCTTGAGTGAAGATTGATCTTCGTTAAAATGGTTGCCACCGGCGTCATTATGACCATCAAAGTTATCGCCAAGAGGCTCAGCCTCCAAACTCAGGCCGCAGGAAGCAGCAGCAAGGCTGGTACGCGACTCTCCGCGCCCAGACTCAGCACCCGGCATACTCAGGGCCACAGGTAAGAGGTTGGGTTGGGGTAGGAGAAGAAGGAGAGAAGAAAGAAGAGCAGAGTGGAAAAGGGAGGGCAGCGGATGGAAAGGGAAGGAGGCTAAATCCCTTCTTTCCTCCTTTGACCTAGAAATTCGGCAACTTTGCCACAAATAATTCAATTTGAGGATGGGGGGGAAAGCTGGCAACGTAGAAAGTGGATCTGGGGCAGCCCATATGGCGTTGTAAATCGCGACTGTGTTTAAAGTTAGCTGTCGAATTCTACTATGAAATCGTCCAGCCGAGTTCATTTCCCCCAGGGAAAATGCGTAGGCGAGAAGCCTATCCATCAGCAGGGTTATAAAAGTAAAAAACCCAGGACTTCAAGTTCAGAACTCACTCTGCAAACGGTGTTAAAAAATCAGAGAGGACCTAATGATTTCCGTTTGGAGGCGCGGGCCCAACGCACCTCCCCAGCCACGTAGCACTAAAATGCTTTCAAAACTCTACGATATTTCCTTTCCCTTTCTCTCTCTCTCTGTCTCTCAGCTGGGGTGGGAGGAGAGCAGCCAGGCTGAGGCGAAGAAGTGGGGAGAGAGAAAACTCGGCGCCTTATTTGTTAAATAAAATACATATTTGGTTCTGAAATTCAAAAGATAAGTAATCCAGACAGGAGCGCAAGGTCTCCTTACGCAACTCTTCCTACATCCTCCCTCTGGTCTCCTCCCTTACCCCTCCCGCTTGTAAATGTTTAAAAAAAAGGGGGGGGGCTTCCCGACGATCTACTCTGGAAAATCAAAGCATTATCTATTATTTAACACGTATCTATGTCCGAGGAAAAATGAGGAAGGCGCTGCATGATTAGGACCTAAGGGGCAACCCAGCAAACTGAGAGCGTAATGATGCCCCTAAATGAAGGGGGAAATGTGCCGCGGCGCGCTCTATTAATCAGACTGTCAATTTCACCCCCGAGGCCAAACCCCCGGGCGAACAGAACCGGCTCTGAGCGGGCAAAGGACCGGAGCCTTCCTCCTCACTTCTTGTCTCTTCTCGCCTCCTACCTGGATCTATTTGTCTGCTCCGAAGCCGCCTTCATTACCCACTGACAGGAGCGTGTATTTATTTGCTTATAAACCTGTTACAATAAATGATTATTCGAACGGCGTCATTCGTACCTTAATGACGAGCGAGCGCTACTTTTTGATGAATGACATCTCGGGCTCGGAAGGATGTATGGGTCATTTTGACCAGTCATTCCCTCGCTCTGGCATCCCACAATTTTTCCGCCTCCCTCCAAAAGAGATAATAATATTTAGAGGCGCTCGCTGGGGCTGAATGAGAATTAGCCCTAGGCGCAGCCCATCATTAGGACGGGACAGCGGGCCACTGTGACATTTTTTAGAAAGCTGAGATGATGGAAAGAATAAGAAAAGAGATGATTCTGATGGAGAGAGGGCTGCACAGCCCCACGGCCGGCAAGCGGTTCTCCAATTTGTCCGATTCGGCTGGCAGTGCTGTGCTCGAGGCCCTGGAAAATTCGCAGCACCCGGCTCGCCTCAGCCCGCGCCTGCCGTCCGCCCCCCTGCACAGCGCTCTGGGAGACCTCCCTGCCAAGGGCAAATTCGAAATAGACACTTTGTTCAACCTGCAGCACCCGGGCAGCGAAAGCACCGTCTCCTCCGAAATCGCCTCCGCAGCCGAAGGCCGTAAAAAGCCGGGTCATTATTCAGAGGCGGCCGCCGAGGCGGACATGAGCAGCGACGTGGAGGTGGGCTGCTCCGCGCTGCGCTCCCCTGGCGGCCTTGCCGCCGCGCCGCTCAAGGAAAACAATGGCAAAGGTAACCTCGCCGCCCTTGCCGCGCTCTCTGGTCGCATCCTCCCCGTTCCGCCGCGGCTCCTGCTGGCCCTTCCTACTGCCTTTGCCCCTAACCGACTTTCTTCCGCAAGCAAGCTGCACCCAGCGGGCTCGGGAGGGGGCGGGACGCATGCTGGGGACCCTGCACTCCCGCTTTGCTCCTTGAGTCCCCCAGCGAGGCATAGGCCTGGGGGGTTCCAGGCCCGCCAGCCCGCTGTCGCCCGAGTCCTAGAAAATGTTTCTGCGGGCTGGTCTAAAAGCCTGTGCGAGCTGACCGACCCCTAGCCAGCCGCTGAGTCGCGCTACGGGAAGGGTGCCCTGGTAGCTGCTCTGAACTCCGTTACCCCTGATTCCCCAAGGCCGAGTGGAGGGGGCATCCTGAGTAAGTCGGAGGGAGAGTCACCGGGTGCCTCTGGGAGACTCGCTTGGGTCAGCGGAAGAAAAGAGTTGAAAAGTAGAGTCCACTCCCCAATGGTTCCGGTTTGAGCTGCTGCTCTTTCTCATCTTAAAAAATATTTTTTAGCCAAACCCAAAGACTATCAAAGAAAGGTTGGGAGCCCTACAAAAGCTGCCCTGCCGTCTCCAGACCAGGGGAAACTCAGAGCTTACCAAACTACGCCTAGATGTAGGCATTTTCCCTTGACCAATTTTCCTCCTGACTTGAAAATTTTCAATTACTTAAGGAAAAAAAACCTTCCTAATTGAGTTCTTATTATTTGGTTATGAAGGGGTCCCCAAACTTTATTGATTCCATTAAAGGCGGCAATTTATAAGTACGACAGACCCTATCAATTCAGGCAGCATCTCGCCTTCCTCTCCCGGCTTCCCCCATCCGCGCTCAGCCCCAGCGCGGAGATCGCGGCCCTACAGTGACTCTCTCACTGTCGGCCGTTTGTTTGCCAGGGTACACGGAGAGCGGCTCTGCCGCCGGCACCACGACGTCTGCGTCGGGCTCTGGCCTTGGCAGCCTGCATGGAGGTGGCGGCAGCGGCGGTGGCGGGGGCGCGGCGCTGGGCGGCTCCGGCTCCGGCGCGGATCAGGTGCGGCGCTACCGCACGGCGTTCACCCGCGAACAGATCGCGCGCTTGGAGAAGGAGTTCTACAGGGAGAACTATGTGTCTCGGCCCCGCCGGTGTGAGCTAGCGGCGGCGCTCAACCTGCCGGAAACCACCATCAAGGTATTGATTCCAGCACGCGCCTTTTCTAGCCTCCTCGGGGTGTCTGGGTTGATTTTTGTTTCTCCTCTCTTCTTCCTGGGTGGCCACATTTAGCTGAGGGCCTGAAAATCCGCAGGGTACAGTCACCAAAGGAACTGGCATATTTATTTCTCAGCTGCTGAATCCGAAGGGTTGCCCGGCCTTGCTGACCTGGGAAGGCCCGGGAATGGCGGAGCCGATGCCAGAAACGCTGGCCTCTGTTCGATTCTGCCCAGCGCCTGCCCAGGTGTCCTTAGCTTATGTCCATGGCCCCACTTTCCCCTCGGCGGCAAAGCCGGCTGGTCTTTGTTCCTCTGGCACGAACCCTAGGTGAAACTTTTCATCTGCTCTTGATCTTGGAGATTTATTTTCCACATAAATCGTTACAACAAGGAGAAAGGAATACTGTATTTTGAAGATCGATTGTGTTGAGAAAGTAGTTTCCTAAACATTTTTCTCTTGGGCAGCAGTGGGGTGGGGAGAGAAAGAATGCAACCTTGGGGGTGGGAGGGAGGATACAACGAAATTGTTCTTCTATATCTCTAGGTGATTAATTTTATTAATCTGGGAGAGACAGCTGGGAGGTTGGGCGACTTGGCGAACACTTCACGGAGGATCCCACACTAGAAAAAGAAAAGAGTAAATTGCAAGGGATAAGGGAGGTTGTAGAAGTCTCCCTTTGGTTTGATTAGGCTTTCTTTAATTTAGAGTTGTGACGAATGATGTCTTCATTAGACTGAGTTGGGAGGGGTAGAAAAGTCCCCTTCCCAGTTTAAGAGGGTGTTGCTCCCGCCACTCATTTGAGGCAAACGATTCCAACAAAATCATCCCTTCGATATCAAAACCGAACGTGTGCCCTTGGGGCAGGTTGTTGCCGCTCAGAGGACGCAAGACCTCGAGCGGCGACCTTTTAGAAAAGCTGCCGAGATAGCCCCTCTTCAAAGGTGGCCTAGAATCCCGTGCAAATCCTGGGATTGAGAGAGGGGTGCTCAGCAAGCCTGGGCACCAGTGGGTGGCGGGGAAGGAAAGGAAAGGTTGCGTTGGGATCTAAAACGCAGCAAAAAGCAAGGGAGCAGGAGCCGAGGGCAGAAGACTATTTTCGCGCAGGAAGGTGTGCCCATGGCTGTTCCCACTGTCGCCCTCACTACCAGCTGGGAGAGCAGAGGGGCCTCCAAGGGGCGCCCAGTCGGAGGGGAGTAGTAGGTCAGGCCATGCGGAGGTCCTGGAAGGGTGGAGAGGTCCAGGGCGGGGGCTGAGGCCTCCAGGCACTCCTTAACTCGGGCCGCGGCGCGGCTCTCCCCTCAGGTATGGTTCCAGAACCGGCGCATGAAGGACAAGCGGCAGCGCCTGGCTATGTCGTGGCCGCACCCGGCCGACCCCAGCTTCTACACCTACATGATGACGCACGCGGCCGCCACCGGAAGCCTGCCCTACCCCTTCCACTCGCACGTGCCGCTGCACTACTACCCGCACGTGGGTGTCACGGCTGCGGCCGCGGCGGCCGCGGCCTCCGGCGCAGCGGCCGCGGCCTCGTCGCCCTTTGCCACGTCCATCCGTCCGCTGGACACCTTCCGTGCCCTGTCGCACCCTTACTCGAGGCCGGAGCTGTTGTGCAGCTTCCGCCACCCGGGCCTCTACCAGACGCCAGCGGCCGCCGCGGGGCTCAACAGTGCGGCCTCCGCAGCTGCGGCTGCTGCGGCTGCAGCGGCTGCGGCCTCGTCGGCCGCGGCGGCCGGGGCGCCCCCCAGCGGCGGCTCCGCGCCCTGCTCGTGCCTCAGTTGCCACAGCAGTCAATCCGCCGCGGCGGCCGCGGCAGCCGCCGCCGCGGCCCTGGGCTCCCGGGGCGGTGGCGGCGGCGGCGGGGGTGCAGGCGGAGGCGGCGCAGGGGCCGCCGGGGGCTCGGACTTCGGCTGCAGCGCCGCGGCGCCTCGCTCCGAGAGCGGCTTCCTGCCCTACTCAGCGGCTGTGCTTAGCAAGACCGCCGTGAGCCCACCGGACCAGAGGGACGAGGCGCCGCTCACCAGATAACTACGTCGCCGCCGCCAGGGGGCTGTGCCCGCCACTCTGAGCGTGCCCGGGAGTCCCCTGAGCGCCCCCCGCGCCCTCTGTGCGCCCATGTGCCCTCTGCGCTCTGCCCGCTGCTAATGCTGCCGCCAGGGGGCGCCCTGGCGCGGGAGGCCGAAGGGAAGCTGCCCCGACCGAATTGGGGGCAAAGAGCCGCGCGAAAACCCGGCGGGTGTATCCCTAAATTTCTATTTTTGTATTTGCTACCCAGCAGCTTCCTCGTGTTTCCCACGGCCCGTGCCCCGTTTCCCGCCTCTGTCCGGAGCTCTTGGGTCTTCCCGAAGACAATCCCCTTGCCCTCAAGCTAGTCCTCTCGGGTACGGGGTCCTGACCGTAAGCCCTCAGGCCCAGGTTACTCTCCTGAACCACGTGGCCAGAAGCAATGGAGAATCACAACAAAGAGAGGGGAATGGTGGGCGCTAGCGCGTTGTGCCGGGGGTGGGGGTGGGGCAGTCACCCCCGAGGTTCTTGCTGCTCTTTTTCTTCCAGCCTTTCTTTTCTTTAAACGAGGGTGAGGGGAGGTGGCAATCCCCCCCGCCCCCCGCCTGAGCTTGTTAGGGGTCCCGTGCACGGAGAGCGGAAGAATGGAGGTCTGAGAAGGCCAGGAGGGCGGTTGGAGAGCGCGGTCGGCCGCCGGTTCTGTTTGTGAGACGGTTTACCGCGAGGTTTACCGCGTGCGGGAGCGAGGCGAGAGGGGGCTGTGGCCGTCTTCCCCCGCAAGGGCAGCGCGGAGGCAGGCGGGAGTGGCCGCCTCGCCTCCACTCTCGGCCCACCCCGGTTCTCTTTTGATCTTCGGTGAGGGATGCAGGCGTCTTGCATATTTTATGCAAAAAGTAATGGCAAAGGAGGGTGCCGCAGCCAGGCCTGGAGTGGAAAGGGAAACGAAGGGAAGGGGAGGGCAAGACTGACAGATCGTTGTCTATTTGAAGAAGCGTTTCCAGCTCAGTTTTCCAACTACCGGGTTCCATTCCATCTGGGAAATACTTGAATCTCTAGATATGTGGTATTATCCTGAAGCATTTCCTTAGACTCTTTTCTAAGTTCGACCTCGATTCCCCTCACCCCTTTCCCTCCTCGCTTTCCTTTTCCTTGGGTAAAATGGTTCTTGGCATGTTTCTCACGCATGTCTATTGCGCTTTCGCCTCTGCAAAGCCACCGCTGGGTTGTCGAGACCCATTCTGCCAACCCCGGCTACTGGAGGGGTTTCCTTGAACTTGAAGAAAGGCACATCAAAACCCACCAGTGTTAACTGCCACGTCAATTTTGATGCTAATAATGTGCAGATTATGACGAAAATTGCCAATCATGCTCTCTGATGGACCTCCTTTGAATGTGGAATTGGAGAAAAGTTCCCCGCACGGAGACCTGCTGTCAAGTACTAACAACCCGCTAAGGGAAGTCATTAGGAGAGACGGATAAGAGACTCGGTACATAAAACATTGTTCTTGGTGCATAGAATGTATGTTACTTAATGTTATCTCTGTTACCTGAAGTGATTTCGCAGAAGAAAGCCACGTTCTTATCATCTCAATTGCCAATTTTCATTTTGGTAACTCGGACGCCCTGGGTAGACTTTTCTCTGTTAAGTTGATATTCCACCAATGTGAACAGCCTCATTAAATCAAGCCCAGATATTTCCATAATGCTCCCCGCAGAGCCACTTCGCTCCTCACATAATGAGATTTTCTGAAGAGTTGAAGCCCTAAAATAACTTGCTAGTGCATGTTTAGACCCAACAAAGTGGGTATGTGTGTGTATTAAAATGTAGGTGTGCTACCTACATATTCGTGTGTATATATGTATGTATATATGTATATGTATGTATATACATATATATCCATTCTCTTAAACATATGCATATGTAAGAGATGCGCACACATCCGTATATACCCATTGGCACTATAATCTGTGATTTATTTCAAATTCTTTTTCTGACATATTTTTGTTATTTTAAAGACACTGGATTTTAAAAATTCATTTCCTAAAAATAGGCTTTCAGGAAACTTTTGAAAAAATTCATTTCCAGAAGAATTTATTATTTTCATGAAATGGAAAATATTTCAAGGGAAACAGTATTTCAAAACTCCTGGGGTCTATTAAAATATCCCTATAAAGCATTAGAAAACTTCCTAATGAAATAGAAATGATCTAAAGCTCGTTTTTTCTTTTTTCCTTAAAGAGATGAGACTACTTATGTTAAATATTGATTATGCCAGCTGTTACTGAGTTTACATTGAAAATATTAATATATAATTTAAGGCTAAATAAAATAAACCAAAATATGGTACCCTTTTATCAGCTTTACCTTTGTAGATTGATAAAGTCTTTTCTTACGATCAGCTATCAGATGTATATAAGGTACTTTAGGCAATAATGTTTACATCCCCCCAAAATATATATGATTGATGAGAATGCTGGTTGGTAAAATGAACATAAATTCATCTTATGTTAGGTCCATTGGATC